CTCTCTTCTCACCCATCCTGGAGGATGGGTGAGAAGAGAGTTATTTGGCTCTCCTTGCCTCTCCTTTCACCTCGCCTTTCTATGAAGTCTCTGAATCAAATTTAACTTTTTCTTCCTGATTTTTAAAACTCTCCATGGACTCTACTTCACCCTGTATTGCTGACTTCATATCTCTCTGCTCACTATACATTCACCTCCTCCTTTGCCATCTGTCTCCTCTTCCCCTAGTGATTTCTGAGTTTCAAATCTTATTTTAAAAAAATTCCCATTTGCTTTTGTGCTCGATGAACCCTGCACTACCCTCCCCATTGTTGGGTTCATCTGCTTTCTGTCATACTGTGACATGGTGTATAAAGCCCCCCACTAGTGACAAATTTGGTTAAAGGGCTACTGTGGGCAAGGTTGACCCTGCCTCTCTAGCCCTGTCAATCATGTCAGGGGTGGAATAACAGTTTAAAAGCCGGTTGTTCCAGACAGTTGTTGGGCAGCTCTGGGAGAAAGCAGACAGCAGCTCCTAAGAGGGGCTCCTGGAAGGCTTCACAGAAACTGCCCTCGAGAAGCTCACCCACTGATCTTCCCTGTATCTACAAGCAGACAACAGATGCTGATATTCTGGACAGGCCGGATAGGTTCAGCAAGCCTCAGGTGAGCTGTTAAGCAGTCGGTACCACTATCCTCTACCCCTTCCTGGGGTATCTTGGATTGTACTGAAAGGACTTGGAGAGTGGGAGCCAGGAGCCCCATCCCCTTCAAATGCAGTTAGACTGTTTGCCTCAATTTTGCATCACAGAGACTCCTGTTTATGCAGATTGGGGGCTGAGGGTGGGGGGGGCTACGGGTTTTGCAGCCTCAGACAGCAGGAGGTGCCCGTCAGCAACCCAAGAACTGTGACACACAGTAACTTGTATCTTTACTGCTTTTAAACATTTATTTTTTTAACTCTACCCCAACCCTTCTAATTTCCACTTTCTGCCGCTGATAGTAACATTAAGTACTTACTGGTATGGGGGCCTGGCTCTGGGACCCTGGAAGGGGCGGGGCCTCGGCAGAAGAGGCGGGGCTGGGAGGGTCAGCCTCCCCCAGCCAGCCCATCAATGCTGCCTGGCTCATGCCCCGCTCTCCCCCCCTGGGGTTCTGTCGGTGGCCCGGGGAGGGGGGGCAAAAGGGGCAATAATGTTAAAGCGCTGCTGTGGTAGCGCTTTAACATTGGCTGCGTATGGGCCAGTACTGGCGGCCACTTCCACTGTACTGGCCCATACTGGCCTACTTTCACCTCTGGCTGATAGTCTCCTTATCCAGCTTTAGAAAAGTACTATGTCTCTGGAGCATTTTATAATGCTCTGTATAAAGGAAGCTATATAAAAATAAATTTCATTGTATTATAACAGTGAAGTAGAGGCACTTTTAGAAATATGCTTCTAAATTACAATAACAAAAGCTCTAAATAACTCCTTAAGACCACCTCCTTCATCTGGGGACTAGACATTAAATGTATTTTTTGAATAGGGGATGTCATAACTATAAAGGGAAGGGTAACAACCCTCCTGTGTACAATACTAGAAAATTCCTTCTGGCCGAAGGCACCAAAATCCTTTTACCTGTAAAGGGTTAAGGAGCTCAGGTAACCTGGCTGACATCTGACCTAAAGGACAAATAAGGGCACAAGATACTTTCAAATCTTGGGGGGGAAGGCTTTTGTTTTGTTTTGTTTTGTTTTGGTGTTGTTCGCTCTTGGGACTAAGAGGGACCGGATATCAACCCATGTTCTTCAAATCTTTCTGAACAAGTCTCTCATATTTCAACTTGTAAGTAACAGCCAGGCAAGGCGTGTTAGTTTCTTTTTGTTTTTTCAACTTGTGAATGTTCCTTTGCTAGAGGGTTTATCTCTGTTTGCTGTAACTTTGAACCTAAGGCTAGAGGGGGTTCCTCTGGGCTCTTTAAATCTGATTACCCTGTAAAGTTATTGTCCATCCTGAATGTACAGAGTTGATATTTACCTTTTCTTTTTAATAAATCCTTCTTTTAAGAACCTGACTGATTTTTCCATTGTCCAAAGACCCAAGGGTTGGGTCTTTAATCACTTTGTAACCAATTGGTTAGGATATTATTATCAAGCCTTCCCAGGAAAAGGGGTGTAGGGGCTTGCGGGGATTATTCTCAAGCCTGCCCGGGAAAGGTGGGTAGGGGCTTGGGAGATATTTGGGGAAAGGCAGAGCTCCAAGTGGCTCTCCCTAAATGTTTGTTTAACTCGCCTGGTGGTGGCAGCATACCTTTTAACCTAAGCTGGTAGAAATAAGCTTAGGGGATCTTTCTTGCGGGTCTGCATATCTGTACCCTAAAGTTCAGAGTGGGGATGGAACCCTGACAGGGGAGCTTGCTAATGTATTCACTCCATTGCATGCAGCTGATATTGCAGTGTCTCTAGGAATGGTGAGAAACAAATTTGTAACTAGCATGGTGGTTGCTAAACTTTACTGGTGAATCAAACTAGTTGTCAGTACATGCCATTCACCCACTATCTGTATATAGGTTGTCTACTTAGATAGTAAGCTCTTAGAGCATGGGATCTTCACTTTCTATGTCTGTAAAATACCTGGATAAATGATGGTAACCTACATCCTAAATGTAGAAACTGTAGAAGTTGGAAATGGGAAAAGAAATACTAGGTCATCTAGTTCTTCTCCTTGAAATGGAGAATGGAAATGCTGTTAGAAGATAAAGGTGATAATAATGAATAGAAAAAGTAATATAGTTTAGCTCTTATACAGTCCTTTTCATCCTTACATCTTAAAAATGTAAAGATGTAAAAATGTAAAAATGCTGCAAAAAGTTTGTTAAATATTATTACTTTGTGTGCTGCTAGACTTCCTTTCCCTATTCCTTGCATGTACATTAATCATGAAGCAATACAGTGTCTCATTCTTACATGTTAGACAGCTCCACGAATCTGAGGAACTTTTGTTCTTCCTCCTCTCATAAAGCTGGGTGTCACTTGATCTGAGAGTGTGCTGCAGACTTTGACCAATCCCATAGCAGGTAACGTGCTGTGCTTGTTTGCATTTATTTCCTGCTGTAGTCTCTGAGATTCAGTTCAGTCTTTTCACAGGGGAAGACTAGCTGCTAGAAAAGCGGAAATCTTTTTGAAGAAATGAACAGCTGAAATGAAAACCAAATGATTTCATAAGAGTAAGTAAAACTAAAATAATCCCTTCCCCCCCTTGAGAACAAAAGTATAGTGTAACTAAATCAAAGACCTGGAATTATTTGAATATATACTTCTTTTAAAAGCAATCTGTGAGTTGGATTCTGAATTATTTAGACTGTTTCTAGATGTGGATGCTTTTGCTTGCGTGTTCCAGAGACAATTTATTCTTAAGTGGCAGTTCACTTAGTTTATGTAAACATATTTTCCCCAATCACTGCAGTATTAGTTTGTTCCTAAGAGGAATGGTGAACTCACTTTCATTGTTTCATCAGGAATTTCACAGGTCGAAACATACAATATATACTTCCAACATAAACTACCCCACACCAGTGATTTGCCACACCCTCTTTTTTGGCCTATTGAATTTAGAAGGCAACGAGCTAAAATTATAATACTCTGTATTATATTTTGGTAAGTTTGTATTATTTATTATGTTTTTGGAAATGTATCATGCCTATTACAGATGTTTAATACAGATATTAAAATATTAATGAAACTGTCCATTATGTCTATGCAATTGTATACTACCTAGTCACTGGGTTTAATATTTATTATTTTTATTATGGTAACATCCACAAATTGTTTGGCACTGTCCACACCTAGCTTGTCTACTGTCAGACTAGAAATAAGACATTTTTTATCAGTGAGGGTAACTAACCATTGGAACAACTTATCTAGTGGTGTGATGGATTCTCCATGGCTTTCCAGTCTTTAAGCAAGACTGGATCTCTTTTTAAAAGACATGCTTCCTGCCCCCTCCCCTGAGCCTGCCATGCCCTCGCCCCCCCCCCCCCGAGCCTCCTGGACATCACGAAACAGCTGATCAGGAGGCGCAGGGAGAGAGGCGAGGCGGGAGGCGCTGATCGGTGGGACTGCTGGTGGGTGGGAGGCACGGTGAGCAGGGTAGGGAAGCTGGTGGGGGAACTGCTGAATATTACTGTGGCTCTTTGGCAATGTACATTGGTAAATTCTGGCTCCTTCTCAAGCTCAGGTTGGCCACCCCTGCTCTAGCTCAAACAGAGCATATGGGCTCAATGCAGAAATTACTGGGTTGGATTCTATGGTCTGTGTTATATAGGAGGGCAGACTAGATTATAATGTCCCTTCTGGCCTTAAAATCTACAGGAAGACATAATCTCTGCCTCAAAGTTCCTACAACGGAGGAGGGCCCTGATTCTGCCATGTGTTGCTCATGGGCTGACAAAATCCTGCACCTGTGCAAAGTACCCCTGACTTCAGTGGGACTCTGTACTGCTAGACCCTTATGCAGGAATGCAGGATCGTGGTCTAAGAAGACAAGCAACAGAGGAAGGGGGGAAGAGAGAAAACATATAATCAATATTTGTAGTTATTTTTAGAATCAAAATTTCATTGCATTATTTATAGCAGCTGAATCTCAGTTTCCATCACAAGCCTGACTTTCACAAGCTTGAGAGAGAGCTGCATCAAGTCCTCCTTGGCAGTAGGGAGAGTCATTGCCACACAAGGGTTAGATTCTTAGCTCATGTAAATTGTCATAGCTCTGTTAACTTCAATGGAACTCTGACAATTTCCCCCAGCTGAGGAGCTGCCCCTTGGCGTTTTAGCCATGTGTCAGGGAGGAACACTGAGTGGTGATGTTACAGCATCATCCTAAAGATCTTGAATGTAAATTGCACAGTCATATTTCATTAGTTAACCTAGCTAATAAGGTTCATTTGGAGAATGGCCTCAAGTTCAGAGGCTGTACTCCAACTCTGTGGGGTGACTTGTGTGTGGAAAAAACTAGCCCAAGAAACCCTTATGAAAAGTGGTATGGAGTCCAAAACAAAGATTTTCAAAAGCGGGTGCCTAAAGTTAGGCCCCATAATCATTATTTCGGTATCTACATAAGTGGCCTGATATTCAGAAGTGCTGCACACCTAGGAGCTTCCACTGGCTGTATAGAAAGGGAAAGGGAGACTATCCAATTTCTTGCAAATGGTTAGCATTTAAAAATATTATTTTAAGCTTACATAGCAACTTTGTTCAATATACAGTACACACAGCACCACTGAAATGCAGGTACGCTGGGAGAAGAGGGGACCAGCTGACTGATGTACAGAACAATAGTGAAGGGGAAAGAAATGTGACTAGGGATAGTGCAGTGGGATCTTTAATTAGCATATCAAGCCCGTGCCCTTGCCTGAAAGGCCACACACAGTAAGTTGCATGGTGCTTAGATTATTTACCTCAGAAGGAAAGACTGAGGTGACCCTGCTGGGTTATGAACATGTGGTTCCACGGGGATAACGATGCCAAACTTAAACTTTAGAGACCATTAAGACACCTCCTCCAGCTTAATAGTAAATTGGCTCCTTTTCCAGAGTATGGGGTCTCAACCAAAGCTCACTGAAGTTAATGAGAGCCTCTCCACTGACTTCAGTGTGCTTGACATCAGGCCCTAGGACTGCAGCTCATCAGGCAGACCAAATGTAAGTTATACAATAGGAGCACGGATCACTCAAACTATTTATAATGTACAAAATACTTCAACTCTTTTCAGAACATCCTGTGAGAACACACTGTTGCAACTAATGGAAGCCACTTCGAAAAGGTCCATTCATCTGTGCTATGAAAATGGTGATTGGATGTCACAGCTGCCAGAAAATCTCTGGGATGTTCCTCTCCATTACTTATCCCTTCCAGGTAAATATTAACTTTCTCCTCTAGATACTGATCTTGTTGTAAAAACATTTATTTGGAGTACCAATAGAGTGGTCAGCGCTTGTGTGATAGAAGAAAATACTATTTATTTTCCAAGGAGCTAATAGTCTAAATAGATTGAGTGGGAGTAACTGAAGGTGCTATCTGTTGGATCAGATGTAAACCAAGATCCTGATCACTTATGATTATAAATAATTGCACGACTCTTTTTGTAAGAGTCACCAAGGTAGTCCTGCTGTGCTGGTGAATTACAGTGGGAGGGATTACTCTCTGGGACAGATTTATTAGTCTGATTACGTAAGAATGGCCATACTGGGTCAGACCAATGGTCCAACTAGCCCAGTATCGTGTCTTCTGACAGTGGCCAATGGCAGAGGCTTCAAAAGGAATAAACAGAACAGGCAATCATCAAGTGATCCATCCCCGGTTGTCCAGGCCCAGCCTCTGGCAGCCAGGACATGGGATTGCATCACTGACAGTCCTGACTAATAGCTACTGATGGACCTATCCTCCATGAATTTATCTAACTCTTTTTTGAACACAGTTATACTTTTCACAACATCCCCTGACAATGAGTTCCACAGGTTGACTGTATGTTGTGTGAAGAAGTACTTCCTTTAGTTTGTTTTACACCTGCTGCCTATTAATTTCATTGGGTGACCCCTGGTTCTTGTATTATGTGAAGGAGTAAATAATACTTCCTTATTCACTTTCTCCATACCATTCATGATTTTATAGATCTTTATCATATCCCCTCTTAGTCGCCTCTTTTCCAAGCTGAATAGTCCCAGTCTTTTTAATCTCTCCTCATATGGAAGCTGTTCCAGATCCCTAATCATTTTTGTTGCCCTTTTCTGTATTTTTTCCAATTCTAATCTCTTTTTTGAGATGGGAAGACCAGAACTGCACACAGTATTCAAGGTGTGGGTGTATGATGGATTTATACAGTAGCATTATGATATTTTCTATCCCTATTTCACTATTATCTATCCCTTTCTTAAGCTTTTTTTACTGCCACTGCACATTGAGGAGATGTTTTCAAAGAACTATTCACGATGACTCCAAGATCTTTTTTGAGTGGGAACAATTAATTTAGAACCCATCATTTTGTATGTATAGTTGGGATTATGTTTTCCAGTATACATTACTTTGCATTTATCAATATTTAATTTCATCTGCCATTTTATTGCCCAGTCACCCAGTTTTGTTAGATCCCTTTGATCTTTGCAGTCTGCTTTGGACTTAACTATCTTGAGTAGTTTGTATAATCTACAACTTGCCACCTCATCCCTTTTTCCAGATAATTTATGAATTTGTTGAGCAGCACTTGTGCCAGTACAGATCCACAAAGGGCAGGACAAGAGGCAAGGGGTTCAAACTACAGCATAGCAGATTTAGATTAAATCTCAGGAAAAACTTCCTAACTGTAAGAACAGTAGGACAATGGAACAGACTGCCTAAGTAGATTGTGGAAGCTCCTTCACAGGAGGCTTTCAAAAGGAGGCTGGATGGTCTTGGACACAACAAATCCTGCATCTTGGCGGTGGTTAGACTAGATGACCATTGCAGTCCCTTCTAACCCTGATGGTTCTATGATTCTAAGTCCAAATGCACTATATCCATTGGATTACCCTTATCCACATGTTTCTTGACCCCCTCAAAGAATTCTAGTAGATTGGTGAAGCATGATTTCCCTTTACAAAAGCCATGTTGACTCTTCCCCAATATATTGTGTTCATCTAAGTGTCTGATAATTCTTTTCTTTTTTATAGTTTCAACCAATTTGCCTTGCACTGAAGTTAGGCTTACTGGCCTGTAATTGCCGGGATTGCCTCTGTAGACTTTTTTAAAAATTGGTGTCACATTAACTATCCTCCAGTCATCTGAAGCTGATTTAAGTGATAGGTTACACACCACAGTTAGTAGTTCTGCAATTTCATATTTTAATTCCTTCAGAACTCTTGGGTGAATACCACCTGGTCCTGGTGACTTATTACTCTTTAATTTATTAGTTTGTTCCAGTAATAATAAGTAGCTATTATATAACACTTTTCAGTAGATTTCAAAGGAGGGCAGTATCATCCCCGTTTTACAGATGGAGAAACTGAGGCAGGTGAGATGACTTGCTCAAACTCACCCAGCAGGCCAGTGGCGGAGCTGGGAATAGAATCCAGCTTTCCTGAGTCCCAGTACAGTGATCTATCCACTAGGCCACACTGCTTCCCTTATTAGGATGTATTTTATATCACTATATTGGCTTAGCCCAACAGGCAATAGTTTGAAAAAATATGCAGGAAGGCAAAGAAAGACTCAAGACTAGCTGCCTCTCAGCAAACACTGGTGGGCTGTTACGGGACAATGCCAGAGCTATTAGCTTTGAAGATTTTGCCTCCTCTCCAGCTAACCTACAAAACTGGTTTGAGGCAAGACAGGAAAAGGCCTATGAACACAGGAGCTCAAAAGAATTGTGGCAAGTTTAAAAAGCATGCTCTCTGTCTTTTGAGAAGAGGGAAGTTGTTTGGGAGAACCAGACTGAGTCACACGATATCCTGCTGGGGGTGTCTGAGCCACACGATACCCTGCCTAGGTTACCCTTGGGGATGGACAGCCATTAAGTAAGATAGACATGCTGTAGTCTGTTTGTTTTCAAATCCCTTTTCTTTAAATCTTTTGTTCCCACTGTTAAAATAAACAATACATTGGTTTTAAAAAAGCTGTCTGATCACTGCATGGCACTGCATGCTGAAAGTTCATCTGAGCAGGTGACGAACCCACTCAGACTTTCTGGGAAAGCAACACTGATATACAGGGTGCTATATCCCAGAGCTCAATAAGACTGGAAGAATGGTGGAATTCCACCCCAAGAGAGGTAAACGCATAAAGCCAGGCTCCTGAAGGGCTGCTCTCACAGAGACCATTAAGGGGGACAGGTTCAGCTAGCCTTGTAACCTTGACACATTCTCCCAGTATTGCCAGTCCCCAGCATTTAAAAATCATGAATCAGGCCCCCAAATCATGAGATTTACAAAATAATAAAATTGGGATATTTTTATTAGCCTTTCGGTTTTTGAGCTTTAAGGGTCACATTTTTCAAGTTTTTCTTCATGACCATGATGGCTAAACATTTTTTTTTGTAAACAAAAGTTAAAATTCTCAAATAATCACGGAACTCCAGGAGCTGAAACTTTAAGAAAAACATCAAATATCATGAGACTCATGATGAGAGTTGGCAATACAGTCCTTCTACATTTCATTTGGATATAGTATGCTTCACTGATGCCATTAACTGCACTCAGCAACATTACACAACAGTTTAAGAATTGCAACTTTTTACCAGAGAGGTGGTTATACTTCATGGTCAGTGAAGACATTTCAGTATATTTTGTATTGATGCTGGTTTGCCAGTGATGGTGTAAGAAGGTTAAGGGGTGACTTGATTACAGTCCATAAGTATCTACATGGGGAATAAATATTTAATAATGGGCTCTTCAATGGAGCAGAAAAAGGTATAATACAGTCCATTGGCTGGAAGTTGAAGCTAGACAAACTCAGACTGGAAATAAGGCATAAATTTTTAACTGTGAGAGTCATTCACCATTGGAACATTTTACCCAGGGTGTTATTGGATTCTACATCATTGACAATTTTTAAATCAGGATGGGATGTTTTTCTAAAAGATCTGCTCTAGGAATTATTTTAGGGAAATTCGATGGCCTGTGTTAGACAGGGGATCAGACTAGATGATCACAATGGTCCCTTCTGGCCTTGAAATCTCTGAACTTGTACTAACACCGCATGACTAAGTCCACACTAGGAGTTGCACCGATTTAACTATTTTGGTAATAGGGTTTGCCTTGACTAGCTACTTCAAGACAAAAATGACAGTGCCTTTTCTCCATTAGGATTGTACATTGAGATAGTGATCTCAAATTAGCTATCTTGGTGTAAAAACACATCTGTTTTGCAGTGAAGACATATGTCTTTTGCCAATACACACTTATGTTTTGGGGGTAGGTTGGGAATTAGAAGGTTAGGTGTGCATAAGTGATATTATTTTCTATTGTGTAATACAAAGGAAAATCGTATTTGAGGTACTAACAAATGATTGAAATAAACTTAACCTTTGTTTTTATTCTACAGGGAGCCATGACACTATGACTTACTGTTTGGATAAAAACTCTGATATAAGTGTAAATGAATCAAAGCTGTTGCAGGTGATAGATAAATGTATGCCCTGCATCATACATCCTATTATTATGAAGTGGTCTATAACACAGGTAACCAATTATCTAACGTTCTCAAACTTGAATTAATTGTCTTGTTTGAAGTTTGTTACATAGTATTGAATGTTCATACTTTTTTCAATTCAATTAAGGAATACATTGGTGCCTAGATATGTGAATAACATTTTTGGGCAAATTCTAAATATCATAGGTAGAGAAGTAAGACAAAAAGATGGTGTATGTACCAAGTTTCTGTTTATGGGGAAGATATTTTTGGTGGGAGAGGCTGATATTTTAGGGATAGAGGATTCCTAAATAAAGACAATAGTTAAAGGGACTAACTAACTAAAAACCCCCACATACTGCTTTTTAATCTGAATTAGTTAAGAATGTAAGAATGACCATACTGTGTCAGAACAATGGCCCATCTAGCCCAGTATCTTATCTTCCAACAGTGGCCAATGCCAGGTGCTTCAGAAGGAATGAATAGAACAGGCAATCACCAAGTGATCAATCCCTGTAATCCAATCACAGCTTCTGGCAATCAGAGCATATGGTTGCATCCCTGACCATCTTGCCTAATAGCTATTGATAGACTTATCCTCCAGGAACTTATCTAGTTCTTTTTAGAACCACGTTATAGTTTTGGCCTTCACAACATCCCCTAGCACTGGGGTCCACAGGTTCTGACAGTCTTGACTAATAGCCACTGATGGATCTATCCTCCATGAATTTATCTAATTCTTTTTTGAACCCAGTTATACTTTTCACAACATCCCCTGGCAATGAGTTCCACAGGTTGACTGTATGTTGTGTGAAGAAGTACTTCCTTTTGTTTGTTTTAAACCTGCTGCTTATTAATTTCATCGTGTAACTCCTGGTTCTTGCATTATGTGAAGGAGTAAATAACACTTCCTTATTCACTTTCTCTACACCAGTTATAATTTTATAGACTTATATCATATTCCCTCTTGTCTCTTTTCCAAGCTGAATAGTCCCAGTCTTTTCAATCTCTCCTCATATGCAAGCTGTTCCACACCCCTAACCAATTTTGTTGCCCTTCTCTGTACCTTTTCCAATTTTAATATATCTTTTTTGAGATGGGACAACCAGAATTGCATGCAGTATTCAAGGTGTGGGCATACAAGGGATTTATAGAGTGGCATTATGATATTTTCTGTCTTGTTAGCTATCCCTTTTCTAATGGTTCCTAATATTCTGTTAGCTTTTTGACTGGGGCTGCACATTGGGCAGATGTTTTCAGAGAACTATCCACAATGACTCCAAGATCTCTTTCTTGAGAGGGAACAGCTAATTTAGGCCCCATTATGTTGTATAGTTGGGATTATGTTTTCCAATGTACGTTACTTTGCATTAATCAACATTGAATTTCAACTGCCATTTTATTGCCCAGTCACCGAGTTTTGTGAGATCCCTTTGTAACTCTTTGCAGTCCGCTCTGGACTTAACTATCTTGAATAATTTTGTACCGTCTTCAAATTTTGCCACCTCCCTGTTTACCTGTTTTTCAAGATCATTTAGGAATATGTTGAATAGCACTGGTCCCAGCACAGACCCCTGCAGGACACCACTATTTACATCTCTCTGTTCTGAAAAATGACCCATGTATTCCTAGCCTTTGTTTTCTGCCTTTTTACCATTTACTGATCCATGAGAAGACCTTCCGTCTTATCCCATGACTGCTTAGTTAGATAGGTACAACTTTTATTATAAGTAAGGCCTCTATCTAGATCAGGGATCGGCAACCTTTGGCACGCAGCCCGTCAGGGAAATCCGCTGGCGGGCCTGGACGGTTTGTGTACCTGCAGTGTCCGCAGGTTCGACTGATTGCAGCTCCCACTGACTGCAGTTCGCTGTTCCAGGCCAATGGGGGCTGCGGGAAGTGGTGGCCAGCAGATCCCTCGGCCCACGCCAATCCCTGATCTAGATCAAAATATATGTGTTTTTTTAGGACCTTTCACCCCAGAAAGCCACATTCACCAACTGTCCTAGCAGAGTAATTAGAACAAGGCTATGGGAAAGAGTAGATGAGGTCTCCGTTTGTAGGGATTCAGAAACTGATTCAGCCTTCTTAAAGACTTTAATATTATAAATAAATACATAAAATAAAAATCCAGTATCCATGGGATTATTATTTCTGTTGTGGGAACACGATCAGGGAGCTCCCTAAAGAAAATCTCTGTAAAGTCTTTGATCTGAGGAAAATGAATGCAGACATTTTAAGTTGCTGATCCTGCAACCTTTTCTCATACCAGCAGTCCAGATGACTTCAATAGGAGTATTATTGAACTCAGAACTCAGTATGAATCAGAACTGCTCATGTGTAGGGGTTGAACTTGGGTTGGCTCCTAAGCTTTTATTATGTAGACAATTTAAAGTCCTTTTTAAAAGATCTTAAACTAATCTGTGTTTAGTGTCCACTTCATAAGGAAATAAAAACCCTTCATGTCAGATGTTTCTGTAACTTCAGAGCAAACTGTCAGCACCACACACAAACCTTTCAGCATCATTTTAGAGTTGAAAGATGTAATAGATTTGGTAATCCTAAAAATATGATAAATAAGACTGGACAATTTTATAAGTTTCTTTAGATTTCTTAAAATAAAGGAACACATGTCCCTTGAAAAAATTTAGGATTCTTTTGTTGTTTTTAACCATTCAGGTACTAAATGTGTCAGAACAACTGGATGCCGGGATTAGATATTTGGATTTTAGGATTGCTCACAAGCCTAATGACTCTTCTGTGAATTTGTACTTTGTGCACATGGTATACACAACGGCTGTAGTAGAGGTACTGTTCTTAAATCTGGAGCATTCAGGAAGGAGTGCTGCTTAATTTTTTTTTAAAAGAACCAACAACTATTTCTGAGTAAGAACTGCTTTGGGGGGGAACACTGACCCTAAGATTTTCTGAACAGGTTATTCTTTCTTCAGTAACTTGGGAACTTCAAAATAAGGAATTAAATATACTGCAATGTTGATTGTCGGAACTGAAATTAATTTCTACAGTTGTCAATGAGGCTTAACCTCCATGCAGCCACCTGTGAGTTGGAATTCTCTTCCACTGTTCTCTGCAAACAAATGATTGCCGTTTTCCAGGGTGTGTTTTGTGATGGTCCCAGTATCTCATCTTGCGCCAGCCCATCATTCTGTGATGTGGGCACAAAGTGACTGCTTTGAGGAATAAGTGACAGAAAAATAAGATGGGATTTAATACAGGTACAATATTTTTCAAGGAAAATGTATTTAATGAAAAGATCATGACTCAGTCTTTTGGTCTTAAAATGTCACATGTTGATTGGGGTATTCCTGTACTGGCATGCATAGGACCTGGCCATGCTGTTAGTTGCATATGACTTCAATGAGATGTAAGTGTCAGCAACTAATGGGATAATAAAGGCTTGTCAAGACCATCGGAGTCAGGAGACCTGGGTTCTATCCCTGGTTTTACCACTGACTCACTCTTTGACCTTGAACTAGTCCAGAAAAATGGGGATTCTACTTTCCACCTTTGAGATCCTCGGATGAAAGACACTGAAGATGCAAAGCCACTATATACCTTATATGCATTGGTATATAAGGTGGAGAGCCACAGGTGTTGAAATCAGCATAGCTCCACTGAATTAAAATCCAAAGGATGGCTTTCCAGCCACTATGAAACTTCTTGCAGAATGTCCCATATTGTCATTCATGATAAAGCTATGCTGATTTGCACCAGATGAGGGTCTGGCCTATCATAAATCATTAGTTTATGATTTATTTAATTCTCCCTTACCATCAGACAGGCTTTTCTAAGTTGATTTGACTTTACTTTTGTAGGATATTCTGTGGGAAATTTTAAAGTGGTTGCAGGCCCATCCTCAGGAGGTCGTTATCCTTGCCTGCAGGAATTTTGATGGATTGACCAAGGAACTTCATCATCATCTTATCTCCTGCATAAAAATGATTTTTCATTCTAAACTGTGTCCAAAAGATGTAAGTGCAGACATAATTTCTTTTAGAACGATACAGTAGTTCTTTGATTTGTTATATGCTTTACGTTATCATTATGTTCTTTAAAGCTATAGAAACACGCACCTGTTCTATTATAAACAACATAAGTGTGAGTCAGTTATTAGAGTGTTATCACATAAGTGATGTCATAGTGTGGAGTGGCCCTCTAAGGGAACTGACTCAACTCCATCTGTGCTGTGTCATCCAATCCCAAGTAATGGGTTTGGACTTGGGCTTGTGATTGGGTCAGGTGACCAGGCATCACATGATGGTATCCCAGAAGCAGGGCTTCCTATAAGAATGAGCCTGCTCTGTCAGAGAGGGGAAGACCAGGGGAATACTCTAAAGAAGCCGAGAGTTGAAGGGCAAGCTGAGAGAGAGCTGTGGCTTGCAGCCTTGACACAAGGGTAACTGAAAAGAGAAACGGTGGGGAAGCTCCTGACACATGGCCAGAGAGGACTGGGAAGGGCCTTTCCATATCATCTAGATGGAAAGACTTGACTGGAACTACCTGGCGTGAGGATAGAAGCCTTAAGTGGAAGAGGCTTTTGAGGATATGCTGGGCAGCAGGACCTGGGTTTGTGGGGAAATACTGTTGAGTCCAGCAAGGCGCTGAAGAAACTACAGAGTTGGGGAAAGACTTGTTTTGATTTAATTTGACATTTAAATGTGCTGTCTTAATAAACCAGAACCCAAGAAGGGGTGTTTATTTGACTTGAATGAGAGCTGGGGGGGACAGTTACTGAAAAGCCCAAGAAGGGGAAACTGAGGCAAGAATTAGCGACAGGTTTAGGATAGTCTGGAGGCTTGGGAGACCTGGGTTCAATTTCTTGCTGAGCTACAGATTTCCTGTGTGGCAAGTCACTTGGGCCCAGATCCACAAAAGTACTCAGGCACCTAACCCCCAGATTTAGGAGCTTAAGTCCCAGATTTAGGATCCAGTGTGATCTACAAAGCTCCCACTCAGGTCCAATCTAACCCAATAGGTGCCTTAATTCAAGTCTCACTCCACACCTACATTTCCTCTGCAAAAATTCCCATGGCACTGTTTCTGCCTGTGGGCATGGGGCTGCAGTGCACATGCCAGGTGTCCGGATGCCTGTCTCCTGCCTAAACCCCAGGCGATCCACAATCCAGGGCTCCATCTGGTAAGCATGCTCAGATCAGGGGCACCATTTGAGGGCAGCAGAGGGGGGCGAGTTTCATACAGAAGGTGTGGGAGCTCCTAGGTGGAGCTCTTAACTACAGCACAGCAGTGTGAAATGTAAGTTCTATGGAGGAGAGGTGTCCCTGGGGCAGGGAGTCAGTATTTTGTTTACAAACAGAGGCAGGGTGATTAAGATAAGAAAGGGCTGGTGATTAAATTAAGTATCTGGAAGTCTAGCCTGTAAAACAGGAGTGTGTGTGAGTATGTGTGAGTGTGTGTGGTTTTAGAGAAAACATAGGGGACTCAGAAAAAATACAGCCAAGCCCTCTGAGCCAAGGGGGAGATTTGGGGGCATAGGTGAAAAGAAGGGGCCAAAACCAAGGGAAGGGCTAGCAGTGATATAGAGAGGTTCCCACTCTACCTGTGGTACTTATGTGGTCCCGTCACCGTAGTATCTGAGTGCCTCACAAGGTCTAAACTATTTCTCCTCACAGCCCCTCCGTGAGGTAGAGCAGTGCTGTTATCCCCATTGTACAGATGGGGCCATGAGGCACACACAGACCAGAGGCCAGATTTTCAAAGGTATTTAGTCACCTAGTGGGATTTTCAAAAGTGCCTCGAAGGTTTGATACTTTGTAAACCCCACTAGATGCCAAGCTGCATCTTTGGGTCCCTAAAAGGTTTTGAAATTCTGTCCGTACAACACCGGCCTGAGGTCAGACAGGAAGTCCATGGTGGGCGGGGGAGTAGATCACAGGTCCCTCAGGGCTAGCTCCCTATCCAGCAGACCAGCCTCTCGCTCTGCTGCATGTGGCAAAAAAAAAGAGGATTCTGATAGATGGGAACAAAACCAAGGTGGCCAGTTCTCTGAGACTCCAGCAGTCAGTCCCAGGAAGTTGGGACGGATGTCATAGTTGACAGCATGAAAAGCAGCATAGAGATCAGGAAGGATGGAGAATGAGAATCAGATGAGAGGAGATCATTTAACTCCCAAGGGGTGGCAGGTTCTGCCACATGCTGGGCTGGAGAGTAATGGCTGCTGTCAGGGCCGGTGTAACCACTAGGCCAACTAGGCGGCTGCTTAGGGCGCCAAGATTTGGGGGGTGCCAAAAAGCGGTGTCCGG